GTCTGTGTGCGTGTCTGTGCATGCTTTACATGATATGTACATGTGATTGTGGATTGTATCTGTGTGTTCGTCTGTGTGCGTGTCTGTGCATGCTTTATGGGATATGTACATGTGATTGTGGATTGTATCTATGTGTTCGTCCGCGTGTGTGTGTGTGCATGCTTTATGTGATATGTACATGTGATTTTGGATTGTATCTGTGTGTCCGTCTGTGTGCGTGTCTGTGCATGCTTTATGTGATATGTACATGTGATTTTGGATTGTATTTGTGTGTTCGTCTGTGTGCGTGTCTGTGCATGTTTTATATGATATGTACATGTGATTGGGGATTGTATCAATGTGTTCGTCTGTGTGCGTGTCTGTGAATGTTTTATATGATATGTACATGTGATTGTGGATTGTATCTGTGTGTTCGTCCGTGTGCGTGTCTGTGCATGCGACCGTCTGCGTGTGTGGACGATGGAGTGCGAAACAAATTAAATGTTATTGCGTGCCCCTGTCGTGTGAGGGGTGCATTCGGGCTGGAAAGCGTGTTGGTCAAGTATTAGTTTGTCTTAAATTAGTTGCATAGTACAAGCGTCCCTGCCAGTGCGAACGGACTAGTAACTCCTCTCAATTATTAATGGGCTCCACTTTAAGTATTAGTTAAGTATTAGTTGGTCTTAAATTAGCTGCACATTACAAGCGTCTCTGCCAGTGCACTCAACGCGAGCGCAACATCCAGAGACGTTATTTTGAATGCGCAAGTGGGGGGGGACTTCTGGCGATTGCTAGCATAAACGCGGTTAGAGGCTTTGTAGATGAGGTTTGTGTAGGTACATGGCTCGGAAGCGTGGTTAGTTGTCATACGTTGTCTCTATATCTATGTGTGTATACATTTAGTCTGTTCTGCTTGGCGCACGGATGTTCACCGATTTGAATCATCATACCGAACTTCCTATGCAGCACGATCATATATAGCTAAATTCAGGAACATATATGTATACTCCGAAGCCTTATATTTAGGAAACGGGCTGAACCAAGGCCTTCTGTGTTTCCTTTGACGTAAATACATTTTAATTAAAGATTTGGCGTATATATATATATATAAATATATACATTTATACGTTACATGCATGTGTTGTCAGTGGCAAGGCCAGTTGAAGTCTACCAGTATATCCAGGTCGTGACAGTGAAGGCAACTATTGCGACAAATACAGTTGTGAATAAATGTAGACATATTCACAAAGCATGGGTAAGCCTATGGTACGTTTATACGTATACTACTTGCGCATAGCTCAACATCTTATGTATATAGTTCAGCGACTGTACAGGCCTACGCTTATAATGCATATCGCCTTGTGTGTGTACACACACTCATGCTACTTAAAAATTACTAATATTAAACACCCCATGTGTTCGCATATTGCAATGTCTATATTTCTGGTTGTTATACTCAACCTCCAGATCCTGTTCAGCGGCGACCTGAAGAAGTTCGAAGACAAAGTAGGTAAAAAACCAAAGCCGGTCACTAAGGCGCCTATCAAAAGGCCTAAAAAAAGTGACGGGCCACAGGCGTTGTTAGGCCCAGCGCCCAAAGCTCTCAAACAAGAAGAAGACGAAGCGGTGGTGGGTCAATCGCAGGTGGCACACACGCATGCAGCCGATGCAGCGCATATGAGTCTCACTACAGAACACCCGGACACCAAAGCAGACGTTCAGGTGCAAGAGAGCATACACATGAGGTCAGAGAGCGCCAGAGACGCCCCCAAAAATCAAGGACAGGTGGCTGAACGACAGGACACACAGCCAGGCCCCAACAGGGCAGACGGCCACATAATGGGACAGAAGGCAATGGCGCACCCAACACATGAGAGTGGGCACGATGGAGAGACACACACGGTCACCAACGAAGGGGTGCCGAACATCAATGCCAGTGCCACGGGGGTGGGACAGGCAAAGGCAAGCCCAGGCCAATTGCGCACCAGCACCCGAAAAAAGGGACTAGGACAGGCAGGTATAAACCCAGGCCACCTGCGCACCAGTGGCCGCAGATTGGCTCGGGAGAGTGTGGTCGATAGTTCAGGACGCGGGCAGCTAGGCTTCGCTGTATTACGCAGAGCACAACGGCACGCAAAAGGCGACGGCCAGAAAGCAGCAGAGGCTGTCACGGTGACAGACGAGAACACCGTACACACACAACACGGGACGAATGCGGGTGCTCGAGACAGCGGGTGCTAACGGTGTATTCATATACAGTACATTGCGCCTGCACGCGATCCCTTGGTACGCTACCAGAGACCAGACCACTCTACATGGTGTTGTGTCTCGAGATGGGACTGTCATTCGCCCTGTTGCTGGCTGTAGCACTGGTCGCATGCAGACTGTCCTAGTAGGCACACGGAGTTGTCCCACAGCCAGGACAGGAACACACATTGTGTGAGAACTAGGACAGGAACATAGTGCTTGAGAACGAAAACAGAACACAGTGCTTGAGAACGAAAACAGAACACAGTGCTGAGAACGAAAACAGAACACAGTGCTTGAGAACGAAAACAGAACACAGTGCTTGAGAACGAAAACAGAACACAGTGCTTGAGAACGAAAACAGAACACAGTGCTTGAGAACGAAAACAGAACACAGTGCTTGAGAACGAAAACAGAACACAGTGCTTGTGCGTAGTGTATGCGTATCTGCAACACCTCAGCCGTGACCACTGTCTGTTCAAGCACAGCGTGGCCTGGTGTCTCTGCTGGCAGAATCCCTCAAGTTCCCGACACCCTGTATGTTTTAGGGACTTAGGGATTTAAGGATTCAGGGTTTAGTGCATTAGCCTTCTTCGACATCCGACCCAGTCTCGCTCTCACTGGTGTGCGTAGGGCTTTCCTTGATTCGGGATCACCCGCGTGCCTGCCAGTGTGCACAGAATTCTTGGATACTATAGTGGAGTCAACTGCTGCATAAACCCTACCCTCTCGTCAACCATTGAGTTTTTCTGCCGTAGAGGTTTGCCCTCAGTTGTATATGTACACCTGTCCACTACTTGTCTACTCCATACTCCCACTCGTAACATTGGCTACTGCTTGATGTATGCCCGGTTGGATGTCATTCCTTTCCGAAGGGTGTGCATGAGCCATTTCCGTGTACGTACCAACCTCCGTTGTACCAGTATAGGTATGCACACTATCACTCTATAACGAAATTATTCTCGGCTGCAGTTGGCCGTATTTCCAGTGGACGGGGGTGGTCCTTTCTCAGGGGAGGGGGGTGGTTCGGTGCTTGCGCTCTGTTCTTCGGGGTGTTGTGGCTTGCCGTCTCGACCGTCTTTATATCCCTACGGTTGGGTAGTGACACGGGACATACATGGCATGAGTGCGCTTCGCGTGATATGTGTTGAGGGTTTGTACTGCGGAAAACAATAACTGTGTGGCCCGTGCTTGGGTATGTATTTCAGAGTAAGGCTGGGCGGCTTCTGCCTTGGAAGTATTAATAAGATTCTCACATCAAAAGACACGTACCTCGTCTTCGTTTGCTATTCGAATTTCGTACAGAGAAGCTGTGCCTAGAGCAGAGTATCGATTATGACTCGATTTTGCCCCGAAAACAACAG